CGAGCAAAATCTCCGTTGTTTTAGCTTAGTTTTCGCTGAGCTTCGGATATGTTGTAGCTGAGACAATGAGCTATCACAAGTGTGCCCTTTATTTTTCGATTAGATGCCGGGATCATGCTCATATTTCACTTGCAAAGTAGGATTTCTGAATTCCATTTCCTGTTTACGTGTAATCGCTATGGGAGATGTTTTGGTATATCGGTAACGCACTTGACTTCCAACCTCGAGATCCCTGGTTAGAGTCCGGGTGTCTCCAACACTTTTTTTTTCACTTTTTTTTCCTTTTGACCTTCACTGTACCATCTCCTTTGATTATTTAAACACGTAGATTCGCAAATAATGTCATAAATAACCCTTTTTACTTTATTATTACCCTATTTTCACTTAATCCATTACTTTTTGCGTGTAATCCCTATGGGAAATAACTTTTTCTCAAATCTGGAGTCTACATTCCTGTCTTTTGCGAGCAATATCGCCGTTATTTCGGCTTGGATTTTGTTGATTTTTGAGTATGTTGTAGCTGAGATTATATGCTATCTAAATCAACCCTCATTTTTTCAATAAGATGTCATGATCGCGCTCATGATCATGATCATGATCATCACGATCATCATTATCATAATGATGCTAATCATTTATCAATTACATTTTCATTTCTTTGAATAAGATAAAATCGTCAAAAGGTGTTCTTCATGATGTAAATTAGAGTCAAATGTGTAACTGGTTACTGCACAGGGTCAAAGGTCATATATTGTTTCAATCTATCTTCCCTAGATCCATGATGATCAAGGAGACACAATTTAATCTTGACATATGAATAGATCATAATGGGAGAAGCATATGAATGGGAGAAGCAAAATAATATATCGTGTAATGCATTATTCGTTATGTAAACCATTATCATACGTATCACCTAATTCGTCTAAGTGACGAATTAAAGTCTAGTTTATTTATTATTATTCTTCCTCGAATTTGTTCGCAGGATATCTCAAGACTGAATGAAGCCATTGTTATGAATCTTTCAATGATGATAGATCTTAGTCTAACTTAGAACTGCGTGAATTTTCAAAGACTCAAAGTCATCGTGACGTCATCCAGGCGCCATTTTGTGAAAATCAACTAATGATCATATCTTTATAACGAATAGTAATTTTTCATTCATATTTATCATGATTAAGATCAATATCCGTCCGGTCAAGTTGAGGTCAATAAACGTGCGTAAATGCGCGCGTGCACGCTCGTCCGCGCGTTTACGCGCGCGCAAAAATTAAAAATACTCTAAATCATCCCAAATTTTGTTTGCATACGTTTCAGGCCATATAAAGCATTTGATAAAAAAATTACGCACACGCGCATGCGCGCGCGTTTTCGCGCGTACTGGCATTTTGCAACATAGAATCGCCGATTTTTTTCTGTCATCATATTTGGTACATTTTTCCAAGCATTTTGATAATTTGTTCACCTTTTATTAATGCGAATGAGCGTCCGTCAAAGTTGACAGCACGCGCGGATTTGCGTTATCTTTATCCACAATACATGGGCAAAAACATGCCTATATAAAATTCATTGTAACTCTTTAGAATAGATAGAAACTCCTAATATTTTGTCATATTTGGATAGATTATGAGTCGGAGATATGATTTCATGTCTCATTTGATCCTCAATTAACTCATGACGTCATCATAATGGCCTCCAAACTCAAAATTTTAATTTGCATATTATGACGTCAGCATATTTTTGGAAAATTGATTGTATCTCTGTAAATATTGATCAATTTTCTTTTTAATTTTGATATGTTCTAGCTGAGACAATTTTCTACAAATGTAGTATTCACAATTTTTATTTTTGACAAAAGTATCATGGTGTATTTTTGCAATTTAAGGAGGCATGTCAATTTTTCGCATTTTGCGTGTATTCTCTATGGGACATGACTTTTTCTCAAAACTGGATTCTACACTCCTGTCTTTCGCGAGCAAAATCTCCGTCGTTTTAGCTTTGTTTTCGCTGAGCTTCGGATATGTTGTAGCTGAGACAATGAGCTATCAAAAGTGTCTCCCTTATTTTTCGATTAGATGCCGGGATCATGCTCATATTTCACTTGCAAAGTAGGATTTCTGAATTCCATTTCCTGTTTACGTGTAATCGCTATGGGAGATGTTTTGGTATATCGGTAACGCACTTTACTTCCAACCTCGAGATCCCTGGTTCGAGTCCGGGTGTCTCCAACACTTTTTTTTTTCACTTTTTTTTCATTTTGACCTTCACTGTACCATCTCCTTTGATTATTTAAACACGTAGATTCGCAAATAATGTCATAAATAACCCTTTTTACTTTATTATTACCCTATTTTCACTTAATCCATTACTTTTTGCGTGTAATCCCTATGGGAAATGACTTTTTCTCAAATCTGGAGTCTACATTCCTGTCTTTTGCGAGCAATATCGCCGTTATTTCGGCTTGGATTTTGTTGATTTTTGAGTATGTTGTAGCTGAGACTATATGCTATTTAAATCAACCCTCATTTTTTCAATAAGATGTCATGATCGCGCTCATGATCATGATCATCATTATCATAATGATGCTAATCATTTATCAATTACATTTTCATTTCTTTGAATAAGATAAAATCGTCAAAAGGTGTTCTTCATGATGTAAATTAGAGTCAAATGTGTAACTGGTTACTGCACAGGGTCAAAGGTCATATATTGTTTCAATCTATCTTCCCTAGATCCATGATGATCAAGGAGACACAATTTAATCTTGACATATGAATAGATCATAATGGGAGAAGCATATGAATGGGAGAAGCAAAATAATATATCGTGTAATGCATTATTCGTTATGTAAACCATTATCATACGTATCACCTAATTCGTCTAAGTGACGAATTAAAGTCTAGTTATTATTTATTATTATTATTCTTCCTCGAATTTGTTCGCAGGATATCTCAAGACTGAATGAAGCCATTGTTATGAATCTTTCAATGATGATAGATCTTAGTCTAACTCAGAACTGCGTGAATTTTCAAAGACTCAAAGTCATCGTGACGTCATCCAGGCGCCATTTTGTGAAAATCAACTAATGATCATATCTTCATAACGAATAGTAATTTTTCATTCATATTTATCATGATTTAGATCAATATCCGTCCGGTCAAGTTGAGGTCAATAAACGTGCGTAAATGCGCGCGTGCGCGCTCGTCCGCGCGTTTACGCGCGCGCAAAAATTTAAAATGCTCTAAATCATCCCAAATTTTTTTTGCATACGTTTCAGGCCATATGGAGCATTTGATAAAAAAATTACGCACACGCGCATGCGCGCGCGTTTTTGCGCGTACTGGCATTTTGCAACATAGAATCGCCGATTTTTTTCTGTCATCATATTCGGTACATTTTTCCAAGCATTTTGATAATTTGTTCACCTTTTATTAACGCAATGAGCGTCCGTCAAAGTTGACAGCACGCGCGGATTTGCGTTATCTTTATCCACAATACAAGGGCAAAAACATGCCTATATAAAATTAATTGTAACTCTTTAGAATAGATAGAAACTCCTAATATTTTTTCATATTTGGATAGATTATGAGTCGGAGATATGATTTCATGTCACATTTTATCCTCAATTAACTCATGACGTCATCATAATGGCCTCCAAACTCAAAATTTCAATTTGCATATTATGACGTCAGCATATTTTTGAAAAATTGATTGTATCTCTGTAAGTATTGATCAATTTTCTTTTTAATTTTGATATGTTCTAGCTGAGACAATTTTCTACAAATGTAGTATTCACAATTTTTATTTTTGACAAAAGTATCATGGTGTATTTTTGCGATTAAAGGAGGCATGTCCATTTTTCACATTTTGCGTGTATTGTCTATGGGACATGACTATTTCTCAAAAATGCATTCTACATTTCCGTCTTTCGCGAGCAAAATCTCCGTTGTTTTAGCTTCGTTATCGCTGAGCTTCGGATATGTATTAGCTGAGACAATGAGCTATCAAAAGTGTGCCTTTTATTTTTCAATTAGATGCCGGGATCATGCTCATATTTCACTTGCAAAGTAGGATTTCTGAATTCCATTTCCCGTTTACGTGTAATCGCTATGGGAGATGTTTTGGTATATCGGTAACGCACTTGACTTCCAACCTCGAGATCCCTGGTTCGAGTCCGGGTGTCTCCAACACTTTTTTTTTTCACTTTTTTTTCCTTTTGACCTTCACTGTACCATCTCCTTTGATTATTTAAACACGTAGATTCGCAAATAATGTCATAAATAACCCTTTTTACTTTATTATTACCCTATTTTCACTTAATCCATTACTTTTTGCGTGTAATCCCTATGGGAAATGACTTTTTCTAAAATCTGGAGTCTACATTCCTGTCTTTTGCGAGCAATATCGCCGTTATTTCGGATTGGATTTTGATGATTTTTGAGTATGTTGTAGCTGAGACTATATGCTATCTAAATCAACCCTCATTTTTTCAATAAGAAGTCATGATCGCACTCATGATCATGATCATGATCATCATGATCATCATTATCATAATGATGATAATCATTTATCAATTACATTTTCATTTCTTTGAATAAGATAAAATCGTCAAAAGGTGTTCTTCATGATGTAAATTAGAGTCAAATGTGTAACTTGTTACTGCACAGGTTCAAAGGTCAAATATTGTTTCAATCTATCTTCCCTAGATCCATGATGATCAAGGAGACACAATTTAATCTTGACATATGAATAGATCATAATGGGAGAAGCATATGAATGGGAGAAGCATTTTACAAAATAATATATCGTGTAATGCATTATTCTTTATGTAAACCATTATCATACGTATCACCTAATTCGTCTAAGTGACGAATTAAAGTCTAGTTATGAATTGTCATTATTCATTTATTAATTTACTAATCATTATTAGAAGGTGTAGTAGTATAGTTGTTGCTGTTGTATTACATCATTTACATTAATATATATTGTTATCTCGTTTGCAGAGGTAAAGCGGGCTAACTGGCTGACCTTACCGGAAGATATCCCGGAGCAAGGTCAATTTGACGCCGTACTCTGCTTGGGAAGCTCGATTTTACACCTCATTGATAAACTGCCTGAGCTCGCCCTCTATCGGAAATGTTTGACCAACTTCAAGAAGTTTCTTAAACCTGGTGGCTTGCTGCTGATTGATCACAGGAACATAGATTCTATGCTTGATCGAGGAATTGTCGTGAATAAGAACGTTTATCACGCTGTAAGTAATAAAAAGCCTAGGACAAAATTGCATCGTTTAACGAAACCCTTACAAATAGAAGTTGTCCGACATCTCATTGAAAGGCAAGCATTAAAGGAAGGGTAGGGTACTGACACTACTTTAGATTTACGCATGCTGTCGTCAACAGTTCACAATAGGGACTTTTATATTTGCACGACGACAACGTGGACTGCTACGTGTGACGTCCTTTTAAAGGTGAAATTCAAAGAAAATCACAAATATGTCAACTAATGTATCACTAGAAACTGGTAAAGCTAACAGATGGCTATCATACAAGTTTTAGGTCAACTACATATCGGGTGATTTATAAAAATACAAATACAACCACCTCCATAGCAGCTGGGATTTACGAGAGATTCGCCGGAAAAATAACGATGTTTTAATGACGTCACTATATGGACCAATACTGCCCAAGCAGACACTATGAACATGACTGACAAAGAAAGCGGACAAAATATACAGTTCCTCAGGGAGACAAAGGAACATCCCTTCACTGCTATTATGTAAAAATTTGTAGAACAGGTGTCACATGCATATTCACCTTTTTACATAATAGCAGTGAAGGGATTTCCCTTTGTCTACCTGAGGAACTGTATATTTTGTCCGCTTTCTTTGTCCTCCATGTTCATAGTGAGACGACATCCCATAAAGAATGAACATATTTTCAAAGCTATTATTTTGAAATTATAATGAATTTAGTGTATATAAATGTAATGGCATGTCAAACCATTCAAAAGGGGATATGACCTGATTCTGAAAACCAAAATCTTTTGCTCGTAAATACACAGGATAGGGGTTAATTAGCAACCCAAAAAAAAACAGACTTTCAAATTGAAAACCCCCCCGGAATGATACTAAGGACGGCATTTGTTCCCTCTTGGAACGCCGAACATTCCGCGGTGTGTCCAGCTGAATATACAATGGCGTCTTATTTTGTTTACAAGCGACAAATTCCTTTATTTTTGTATCTCTGCATTTGTCATCAAAATAAAACCATGCGCGGGGTTTAGAGTGAGGCAATATATTATACATTTAGCCTGACGGTAGTGAAGTAAGAGAAAGAACTCAAGAAAAGATGAAAACACAGGCACTGAACATGTGTGAGATGTTATGGGACATCGTCTGCTTGTGCAAATCATGTCCATACTGTGATCTCACACAATCTCAGCAGCGTTCGGAGAGCTCTTCAGGTGCTATGCCGGGGCTGTATTTAAGCGTTGTGTAATTTATAATAATCATTACTTCGAATGTTTCCAAGCATTGAATTTTGATAACCTTATCGAATCAAAGTTTCAACTTTGCAAAAATGAACATAAAATTAGTTATTAAATTTAATGAATACTTTAAGGCCATAAAAGGATGTCACACGTAGCATTCCACGCAAATCTAAAACTCCCATTGTCCTGATTTTATCAACAGCTATATGTCCCACAATGCATCACCAACTGCATACATCATCACCTGGATCTAGATACACCTCACCGAAAGAGAGCGCAATTTAAAATACATGTGACCTTTAAAACTAACATGCTTTTCAGTGCGATGTCAGCAAAAGTGTACATATTGTAACGAAATTTATTACAACTGTTTAATACAGACTGCTCTCGTTCTTGGACTCTTAATTGTCTCTTCTTAGTTCTCGCTCAGTATCTCTATCACTCATGCTTGTATGCAAAACAAATGCGACAAAAGAAATGGAGTAGGTCGATCGTGAATTTCAGTTCTATTCGTCATTTATTACATTTAATAATGACAGCTCGGTAGAAATCGTGCTCTCTAGGCTGGCACTAAAATACAGTCATGTACAGTGAATTATCAGAACGCCTGCAGATTTGGAAAGCGGCAAAAAGGATTCCCGAGGAGAAGTCTCAAGAAGGAATCTATTGATTTTAGATTGCCCTGGCTTTATATAGGGAGCTATATTTATACAATTTTCTAGCAGGCCAACCTTCCAGTAAGGACACAATCCGACCTCGAGCTAAATGGCAGAGTCTAACCTCAAACTGAGGGCAAAGTCCGACCTCCGCTCGGGGTCAGTCGGGTTGCCGCACGCGACTGAGTATCTGTCCTTGCCGTTTTGTAAGACGAGGCCAAAATTAAACCGATTGAATCATTGAGTAGCACAAAATGTACGACCATCCGGTACAAGGGTCTAAAAATCAGACTTATTAATTAGGTGATTTCAATCACTAATTTCGATTCGACAACAAAAGGTCATTATTTTCCCACACAAAAAAAAACATTTGCAAACCTTTTCGCTATGAGGGATGTTTTAAATAAGTATTGTCTTTCAAATGCCGTTAGAATTTAACGTGTTCATGTTTTGACCTGCAAATGGGACAGAGTACCTTTCCAACCCCAATGTACTACTTGTAACTACTTGCTCCCTCTATGTAGAAAACAATGCCGAAGCGGTGCCCGTTGGCCCCCATGATCCTCTTTTTCTTATGTTAATTGAGAGCTGAGTTGATGAGATAGCCACATATTTCAGTGACCACGCTCGGTGGTCTAATCCCTCCTGGCCAAACTAGTACAGACGGGTTTTAAACTATCAACAGACCCTAACGATTATGACGCAATAAAGCATTTACCGGACCAAATACATCCAATCTTTGTTGTTTAAATATCATTAACAGGAGGACACACTACCAGGCGTAAGTACGAAAACTATAACCGAAGAGGGCGTCACGTTGCGAGTTGACATTATTTACGATATGCTGGTGAAAGAGGGAGATGCTGCTACCAACAACGACAAAATAGAAAAGTAAATATACAGGTTTTTAAAACTTTTGTTGTGACACATTTAGGAGGGTGTTTACCTGTGACAATTTCGATGTAGGTTTAATTTGATGTTATATTTTTGTTACCTGAATGCTAAGAATGCACACATATGCCTGTACGTACGCAACAAGGGGACCGACGGCGTAAGTCCTGTACAAGGAACTTTGTAACGAGAATGAATGCAAGTTACCAATGAGCTATCAGACCCTCACATGCATTTGGTTCAGACTTATCCCGCAGACGTGTACCGGCAGTTTGCAGTTAGCTGCCATTCTTTTTCGACCGCCAGACGTGCCAGTTCAGTTCTTTTCAGTTTATTGAATTCCATCTTTAAAAACATTTTTACAAAGTAAAAACATGCAATTTCATTCAAAATATAATACATAAACTGGCATAACATATACATGTGAAATTAATTAATACAAAACAGAATAAGGCACAGCTGTAAAAAAAGAAAAAAAGAGAAGGTTTTGTCTGGACAGCTTCCTATCAAATTAGATATAATAAATATAGTTAGAAAACAAGTAGCAAGTAAAGTTTCGGATAGTATCATTCAGATATAAACCCAGTACATGAAATATAACATTTGGGGATGCAAGAGTCAGAAAATAGCAAAGGGGAAATGTGAGGGGAAGAAATAAAGGGAGAGAGAGAGAGATAGAGAGAAAAGAGAGAGGGATAACAAGTTGGATAAATACAATTTTGTGATTACGTTTAAAACTGTTGTAAAACGAGATTGAAGTTATATTAGTCGGAAGCAAGTTCAAAATTTCAGGTGCATGATGTCGGCAAGAATATGATGCAAAATCTGTATTAACACACCATCGATGATATTTCTTCTTATTTCTAGTATTATAGATATGTATTGTACTGTTTGTTATAAACATATTGGATAAGTTTTTAGGAAGCAGACTTTTTTCGTTCTTAAATATAAGTAATGCACACACATATTAATTTAACTGGTAAACATTCAATATATCAAGTTCTTTAAAAAGTGGTCTTGAATGAGATTGATAATGAGATAGCGTTATATTTCTTACAACCCTCTGTTGTAGAATGTATGAACGATGCAGTTTGGTTGGGTAAGTAGTTGCCCAAACAATGCTGCAATAACTAAGAAACGGTAATATAAGTGTATTGTATAACATAAGAAGAACAGATTGAGGCAAAGTATGGCGGAGTTTGCTGATGACACCAGTATTCCTAGACATTATCTTATTAATATGAAATATATGTGTTTTCCAGGATAAGTTTTCGTCAATAAAAATACCTAAGAACTTGGTATTAGCAACACGATTAAGAACATTATCATCCATTCTGATTCTGATTTGATATGAATTGAGGAGCTCTGTAGAAACCGGTTTATATTTGGAATGAAAATATATAGAATTTGACTTTCCAGCATTCAAGATTAATCTATTGCATTCGCACCAATTTGAAACTTTACGCAATTCAATATTTAGCGTGCTATATAAAGACCCAATGTCATTTGAGGTGTAGAGGATATTGGTGTCATCAGCAAAAAGAATGAATTTCAATTTTAAAGTACTCAAATAGTGCTTAAAGTTTAAATTGTGTACAGCTTTAAAATATACAGAATTGGAATTTTGTTTTGGCAAAAATTTGGTAAAATTGTCAGTATTGCTTAAGGATAAGGAATTTTTCAAAGACAGACCAATATTTACCCAAAAAATTGTTAAAATGATTGGCAATATCTTTAGAATTAGATATTTGTTTCCCATTTACATTAATGAAATTAGATAAGGCATTGTGAGATTTACCCAGGATACCATTGATTAATTGCCATGTTTTTGTCTTCATATTTCCCTTTATTGCAAACAATTTCATCTTGTAGTAGTCTTTGCGGGCAAGTTTTAATAACTTTTAGTGTAATTCCGTATTTGAACGTATTTCTTATTGTTATTTTATGTAGGTGAATGACAATACCTTCTTTATATTCTATTTTTTGTTATCGTTTTATACAAGTCAAATGTGATCCACGGTTTTCTAATCTTTTTAATATTTAAACAATTTCTTTACACATGCTTTGCCATAAAGTAATGATGATTATTGCCGAGAGCTTTTTAAAAACTACGAATACATCGGTATAATTAAAATAATTTCCTCCAAAATACACACATACCAAATACCAAATGGGGGGGGGGGGGGGGGTTAACCCCCTAACCCCCCCCCCCCCCCCCCCCCCTGCGTACGCGCCTGGCATGAGGGGTATAATAGATCATTGCGTATTATATATTCAAAATTGTCAGCGACCAATAGACCAACACCTCCACCCTTTCCTTTTTGGCAATCAGAATGTATAAATGAATAACCAGACACATTGAATAATATTGGAGTACTGTCATTAATCCAAATTTCAGAGAAACCATAAATAGAGAAATATATACATAAAGTAGAGATAACATTGGATATAGCATTAATGTTTTTGTTTAGACTACGGAAATTAAAATGTAAAATACTAAAATGATGGTCAATGTTATTGAATTCAGTTGTAAAATCTTCATCAATATAATATTTGCAGTTCAGAAACCTACTAAAATGAAACTCATCTTCATTTTCGGATAAACAGTTTAAATTATTGATATCAGGAGGAGTATCTGTGGTATTATTACCAAATATTGCACACATTTCGTCATTATTCAAGTCTTGAAATGGAAATTAAGAATGAGTACAGCTTGGAATTGAACAATGGCATATATCAGAATATTGCAATATGGTTTCTTGTACACATGTATGAAAAAAACAACTTTCCTGTATTGGTAACAATTACAGTTACAGTCTGCACACGACATCGGAGTACATAATCAGTAGAAAAAAAGTAAGAGAATAACAAGAGAAGAAAACGAAGAAAAGGAAAGGGAGACAGAGAAATTAAGAAATTGGAAGGAAGAAGGGAAAGTTGAAATTGTATAGAAGGGAAAACATGATGAAAACAAGAATCAATAACAAAAACAAAAACCCACAATTGTGAGAAAAAAACATCAAAATGATACAAATGAAAAATAACCCTCCAAAAGGGGAAATGTTCATAACCTATAAGAAGAGAAGAAGAAAAAAATGTCAACAAATCAAGCAATAATATGTCAACCAGAAATATACTTAACTGCATGTACATTTACATGTACATGACAATCATAGATTATCAATGTCCCTCTTGCAGGTTATTAGTTTCTTCAAACTGTCAGACTGTTTCGAAATTGCAAAAATTCTTCCATCAATTGACCACGCTGATTTCACCTTCTCATCTAGACGAGCCGGATTGAGAAGTATTGCGTTCCTCGCTGTTAGGTCTTCGAGGATCGACATGCGTTTTTTTGCGAACTTACGACGATATGCGACGATTTGACGTCTCTTTCTATGTGAAGATAATTTTACGATGATTGCGCGTGGCTTATCATCGTTTCTAGCAGGTGTCCTTGTAGGCACAACACGGTGGGTACAGTCAAGGTCATCCTTCAATAGTGAGAATGCCAGAAGACTGCTAAGTTCAGTTTGCCAGCGTACGTCTGCAGAAGGTATCTGGGCCATATGCATCGAAACTGTCTCAGGTTTAATAGCAGATTTGGCATGTGTCACAGAATTATAGTATTCCCAATACTTCAAACCATCAACAACAAAAAAAATCAACGGTCTAAGTTGGTAGTTTGCATATACGAAAGTGATCGCTGAACTTTCAAGCAGTCACATCCCAGCAAACTACAGTGAAGAAAGTGTGGACACTGTAGATTTGTCTTGGTATTGACAGCTCCCCAAAACTTCAGTCACACCAACCGGATCCTAAACCGAATAACTACTAGGCCATTTTCGTAATGTAACCAAAATTAATGCAAACGTCTTTGGGCAGTGCATGGATACGAATTGATTCCATTAACCTGTTACGAATAAATGTATTTCAATAGTGAGAATGCAAATTACATATATTACATGTTTTACGTCACTATGAACATGACGGACAAAGAGAGCGGACAAAATATACAGTTCCTCAGGTAGACAAAGGAACATCTCTTCACTGCTATTATGTAAAAATGTGTAGAACAGGTGAATATGCATGTGACACCTGTTCTACACATTTTTACATAATAGCAGTGAAGGGATGTTCCTTTGTCTACCAGAGGAACTGTATATTTTGTCCGCTTTCTTTGTCAGTCATGCTCATAGTGCGTGTTGCTAGGTAGGGCAAGAAAGATGTTTGTCCTACCTAGCAACAAATAACATATGCAGTATGCATTCTGATTAATGAGATACAATTAGTTGTAATAGGTAAATGGAATCACTCGTACCCAGACACTTCGCAGATACGTATGCATTACATTTGGTAACATTACGAAAATAGCTTATTACATTGACCCTAACTTCAAAGATCAGTTGATGTAGAGTCGGTTTCGAGTTGGTTTGGATGACCGTTGGTCAAGTACATTACAACGGACAATGACCGGTGGTCAAGTACTTTACAACGGACAATGACCGGTGGTCAAGTACATTACAACGGACACTGGCTACCTACAAATGTCTCTGGTTTCATGGTTATTTGTTAATTTTACGATTACCATGATTCTGCTCTCTTATTTACAGGGTAATCATGCCGTTAGCACCGGTCCACGTTCACAAGTTCACTGCGTTACTCAAGGAGATGTTTGGACCGAAATGCGAATACTCCCTCTACGGCGATCTGCAACGACTGGACAACGGAAACACAGCAGATGTAGCCTATTTTCAACACGTTGTACACGAATAGACTTGTTTAGACATTGTCATAGTACATTTACAAGTGACCCCAAAATATCAAAAATATAATTTGTTTAAACATGGAAAAGTCCTGCTTCGTACATTTCAGAATAACCACTGCCAACATGATGGAGGTGCTGCACGAATCATTCCTTTTTGTTTGCCATCTTGACCAAATCCTTTCATCTGTGTATCAAAAGAAAGTACTGTCGATGAATTAACGATTAACAACAAAAAAACCTATCACAAACATACACGTTGTATCCTTCTCAATGCGTTGTATAGCTTGATACAAACAATATACCTTTTCTGTCCATGTGCAATTATTATAAGTTTCATTACAATTATATAATGTAAACGTAATGACGATGGGTTCCGTCGCAATAAATCGACAGCCCATGAAATCGATTGCAATGGCAAAAGTTCCACGAGGCGGACAGCCCAAGTTTTTAAATAAAATGTGTGAAAGAAAAAAAATCCAAAAAGGTCCAGAAGATCGACGGTCACTTGCGCAACAGCCCATGACACGATCAGGGGGGTGTTTCACAAAACTTGTCATCAGTAACAAATGACAGTTTTTGTTACAAGCTATACTGAAATCCTTGCTTCTGATTGGCTATCAGCAGATTTGTCACTGATTGTTGTCATTTGTCATTGAAAAAGGCTTTGTGAAACGGGCCCCAGATCGAAGAAAAACCCAAATTAAACAACCACCCCACCTCTCCCTCCCCTATTGAAAAAAAAAGATGAAAAAAGATAGGACGACAGAAAGATGTTGGGCTGTCTGTGTAGCGAACACTCTGTAAAGTTGAAATGTGGATAGAAAGCCGGCAAGACCGAAACTATCGGTCTCATGACCACTACTACTGAGCGGTACTACAACGCCTTGTACTCCTACTCCAACTAATACTATTTCTACTACATGTACTACTGCTGCAACAAATAAGAAGAAGAAAACAAGAGAAAAAGGAAGAAGAACGAGAAGAGAAAGAAGAGGGGAAGGCGGCGGGGAAGCAAGAATGTCATCAAAGTTACTACTCATTTCTTCTTTACTACTCTCTACTAAAAAACTTAGGTTACACCATTAATCCGTTGTACTTAAGTGTCGTCGAAAATAGTTAGTATGATTTCATACGAAATTACGATTTTTATATTTTGTAATACAAATATCTTGTAACTATGAATGTACTGATAATAATTTTGTTTTCAATTACGTGGCTGCATCCACGATAAACATACACGTGGCCACATCCACGATAAACATACAGGGTGTACATGTATTTAACAATACATAAAATTCGTATATTTTAGAGTGTTCCAGACACACAATATCTGTATGTAAATGTATTTATAAATGCATTGAATCAATTTTTAATATTTACAACGTAATAAATGACATTGCAAAGAAGAATGTATACGGTAGTCCATTGCGTTTATTCATTCGCGTTTCAATTCAGGTTGAAAACAAAGTGGAGTTCTGATTAAGGCGAAACATAATTTGAGATTTTTCTCATTTAAAACAAAATGTATATATTTGAAAGAAAGAAAGCCATTATAATGAAATGAAAATCATGAAACATATTGCTTTGCAAATTCCTTCATAGGCAGATTTATTTATCGGACAAAACAAATTCCGGAAGTGTTTGGCCGGACCTTACATTCATGTCATGTGTGTCCCGAATCTTCCATTTCCATGGTGTGCAGTGCACGTGCCTTTCACCATCATTAATTTGATGATTCCAAAATCGACACAGTACACACAAGTTTATTTGTTTTTGTATAAACAAATTTCAATGCGCATTACATATATTCGTTTATTTATTCATTCATAGCAACCAAAGGATTGGATTGATAATACATACATTTTCAACATGATTGAGAACATTATTAAATTGAGTACAATGAACGTGATAAATTATGAATATAAATACAAGTAGATCAATATAATATATATATATATAATTAAAAACCAGCTGCATGTGTCGGGGTACAAGTTCAAAAGAATATTGAATGGTTAAAATACGCACACCAAGGGATAAAACTATTCTTAAATCGGTTTGTTTTACACCTGGGCAGACTCACTTGTTTACTTCTCCTAAGGTTATATCTTGTCTCTCGTTGTTTTCTAATGAGTAAAGTAATTCTTAGTCTAACAAATATTTCTTTTAATTCTTTCTTTATAAAATCATACATATTTGCAGATCATACGTTTGCTGTGGTACTTTTATAAAATAATCATAAATTGTTGTTGAACCAACATCTAAAAGCTGTTTTTTTTTTAAACATGAAATATAAAAATTAGTATTATAGGTTGAAACATCAACTTTGAGAAATTGTAATGACCCTGAATCTTCTTTCCATAACCTGGGTATCGCATCATAAATATCATTAATCATAAGCAAAGCATTACCTTTTATACCGAGGTTCACAAAATATTGAACAGACTTAAACATGAGCTTTCTCAATCAAGTGATTCACTTGAACAATCCCAAATAATTGGCTTCATATATAACCGTATAAATATCTTAAATAAGTTGTCTCTTGCCATGCTTGCAACATTTTCATCTAGTACGGTGGAATATTTAAAAACGAACTTAATTTGAATCATTCTTAATCCTCCAAAATCACAAGTGTTTCGGTGAAACATGAAAGTTCTTTGCTTTTTCCAAGATTTTTTGTAAGATACCGTATTGACCCTGACGTACCTCTAGGGTCATGTAAGTGTATACGTTGCAGAGCACATTTTTCCATGGATGTGATCTGACATATCATTTCAGACGCTTATTTAGAGGCCAGAATTCCAGGTTTTGGAAAATGGCAACGGTATTTCAGAGTCGCTAGCAGTTTCCGTTAAAGAAATGAATAAAGCTTGGATAGGATATTATGAGTGTATGATAATGAATTAGTGGAAATTAATGATTATTTGGTGTCACATTCGAGTACGAAGATGTGTTAGTAATGTGCATGTTAATGTGTATAGAAGTGTGCAGCGTAATATGTACGTTTACATTGAAAGTATGTGCGTTATTTGGTTAGCGTTTAATTCACACATTTATAAAGAGGGATTTTGTGTTTTTGAAAACACAGAGTAATAATGACACCAGTCAGAGGTTGATTTAAGGTTGTTTTAGTTGACAAATATTGGTATTGACATATTAAATAAGTGTCGGATAAATCAGAGTTACGGAAGAAAAAGACTGAAATACAGTCAGGTTTTTGGAATTTATGATGAAAGTTTCAATGAGTCTAAATAAGATAATTTTATACTCATTCTATTTTGGTGCGATCTGAATCTGAATCGGTACAACTCAACACTCCGGGTTCGTAATAGCGCGCGAAATCTTTGACCGCTCTGACCTCATGACGTCACGCGTCATGGCAACAGGACCTCTCAAAAAAGGGGGTGCTACGAAAGACCGCGCTATCTCACTGCGGTGTGAATCCGGCGAATGACAAGATTGACATACTTTGAGTAAGATGGGATATATTTATCAAGCATATATTTAAAGGTAGTCTTTATAAAGAGGGATTTTGTGTTTTTGAAAACACAGAGTAATAATGACACCAGTCAGAGGTTGATTTAAGGTTGTTTTAGTTGACAAATATTGGTATTGACATATTAAATAAGTGTCGGATAAATCAGAGTTATGAAAGAAAAAGACTGAAATACAGTCAGGTTTTTGGAATTTATGATGAAAGTTTCAATGAGCCTAAATAAGATAATTTTATACTCATTCTATTTTGGTGCGATCTGAATCTGAATCGGTACAACTCAACACTCCGGGTTCGTAATAGCGCGCGAAATCTTTGACCGCTCTGACCTCATGACGTCACGCGTCATGGCAACAGGACCTCTCAAAAAAGGGGGTGCTACGAAAGACCGCGCTATCTCACTGCGGTGTGAATCCGGCGAATGACAAGATTGACATACTTTGAGTAAGATGGGATATATTTATCAAGCATATATTTAAAGGTAGTCTTGACCACACATAGGAGCATCACTATCCTGGCTGTGTAGTAAAAGCTGTGCTTTTGATTCTCAACATTTCAAACACCACTGTACAAAACTCAACTGATTTCACTCAAAATCGGTGCTTTAGTAACAATAATTGATGACACTTAAATAGCAGTAAAATACTTTTTGTTTAACTTACTGATGTTAAAAAGAATAATTTAAAAATTCAAATTGTAAGTCTAGTGTCAAACTTTGCTTACAGCTGCATCGACATGATTGTGTAGATAGCGCGATCCACGGTCCGCCCACGGTCCCCTCTTGCGGTGTGAACAGCCTCAAATTTGGGCAATTCTGTCCTCAGATCAGTCCCATATTTTCCCTGTTTGACTGTAGGAAGAGCTGGGCACAAGGTGGCGCTATTTCAATATAGACTTTGAGGACATTGAATGCCATTGCATGTCGATTTCGGCGCTCACAGCATTCAAGGAATTGTTTTCTACCGGTACCCATTTAACATCTGGGTGGAGATGTATGTCTTGCCAAAAGAAAATTAGTTTCGCGGCGGGACCCGAACCGCGGACGACTTATCAACTAGACCACATGAATGTTACAGGTGCACATACTTTGTGTTATATCGAGAGAAAACATCTTTATAACTTTATGAAGAAATGATTGAATAATATGTGATGAATCGAAGAGTATTATTTTTAATCAACTTTCACTGCAATAATTGAAATAATAACAATGATATATATTATAACAGTTACAATGATAATAATTAAAATAATTAGTGTATTGATAGAAGTGTGATACTGCTGCTATTACTTCTAAAACTACTACTTGAGAGAATGAGAAGGAGAAGGAGAAGGAGAAGAAGAAGAATGAGAAGGAGAAGAAGAAGAAGACGAGGAGGAAGAATAAAAAGAGGAAGAAGAAGAAGAGGAAGAAGAAGAAGAAGAAGAAGAAGAGAAGAAGAGAAGGAGAAGAAGAAGAATAAGAATAAGAAGACGAGGAGGGACAAGAAGAAGAAGAAGAGGGGAGTTGAAGGGGAGAATAACAAGGAAAAGGGGAAAAAGAACCATTTTAGCATCTAAGTGATTATTTTCTTTTTGATCGAGGCATAAGCCTGCTCAAACTTTGTTTGTTTGTTTGTTTTATTGTTTCACATTCCACAAAATAAAAGTTTACAAGTTAGTAAAGGTCAGCAAGATAAAGCATAATGACACAAAAAAAACAGTGATGGCAGTAAATAATCATTTATGTGAAATATGAGGACCTATAAAAAGCAATGATTGTAAAATATAGGTTCCCATATACCAATGATTTTATCAACAAATTCCAATGCAATGAAAATGAGACGAATCATGGGAATATAGTCGATGCACAATGAAAACAGGTATGTGGTTACATAATAGACATAATAGTCACAAGTTGTGCAGTGGGGCTTAACCTATGGAGACGGTAACGTATTGCGCCCTTCTCTCTTTTCATAACATAATCCACCACAGCGATGATCTTTTTGGTATTTAAATTGTCTTTTTAATTTTTTAGTCACTTCAAGGTACATTGATATATTTGAAAAATGATTCACACACCAAATAAAAATGAACATTTGATTACATAATGCATTGAACGATAATGCCCTGCCATCTGCTGTCATGGGCAGCTTTTTATCGTTACGTATATCAATGTATCCTTCCATCTTATACGATTTGATTAATAAAGAAATGAAATCAGTAATATTTGGTTTAGCTTTTTTGAATCTATTCAGGTAAATTGTTTTTTTTTGCAATTATTAATATAATATAATTCTTCGACAACATACCAAGAATCACCATTGTTCCGTTAACATCATGAAATCAAACATAGTCAGCTCTTTTTTAAGCTGATTCCAAATATCTTGTACTAGTGTACATTTCCCCCAAAAAAAGTTCAATCGTTTCATTTGTTAGGTCACAAAAAGAACATAATTGGGAACTAATGACCTTCACTTTATACATTTTATAATTCAATTTCAGAATATTATTTAATACATTGAACTGAAGTTCTCTGTAAATTACATCAATTGTAGTTGAAATGATACATAAGCGAGCCAATATTACAATTCCTTCTCTGAAACATCATATCTATTCTTTAGTCTAAACGTACTGACTGGGCATTCTTATTTCTCTGCAACCAACAGATCACAAAATTGTTTGCTTGTTATTCTGTTCAAAAATATCAACTCGGGCGGTAAAATAATATTGGAAGTAATATCGTTTTTGAATGGTTTTGTATAAACTATTTTTAGGAATATTTATCTTTGATAACGAAGAGTACACTCCCTGTA